CAGGAAGCGCGTCCTGCGGTGGGGGTCACATATACGACACTCTGGGAGAGGCACGATTTGCCACGTGGTCCTCTGTTACATCACTGATCCGGCGAGAGAAATGGCTTAAGGCCAAGTGTGCGGCAAAAAGCAGGAGGATCCGGCTATGGCCCACAGGAGAAGGTAGCTGTACGGAAGTTTGCAGACTGAGATTTTCCAAGCACAGACAATCCCAGCGGCAGGGTGCTGCAGTAAAGGGGCCTTTATCTCTCATTCTCACCCGTTTCCAATTCGGTATCAGATGAGGGTGTTTGCGCCCCTGCTGGCTTGGCAGAAAGCACCAGGCGTCAGCCCTTCGACGCATAGCCTCACCAATTCACCGTGCACTCTGTGATGCAACCGTGCTGTTAGGTGCTGTGATGGGACTGTGAGGTGCAGAAGACCAACGCACTGACTGGAAATGCAACTCAAGGCTCACCACTGGCAACCAGAGACTTATGAGCACCTGACATGAGGCTAAACATTTTTAGAAAGGCCAGCCAAGCAGCCTTGGCGATTTAAACCTTCTCTTTCTTAGTGGAATTAAGCCAGTTCACCGTATCACAGTTCTGTAGTCTAAACTGTAGTGACCAACCTACTCAAAATACTCAATCCTACTTTAGCCAAATGTCAGAATGGCCAGACTTAATCTTTTACTTCACTCTAGGGTATGCAGGGAGAATCCCTGTTCGCTCAGTAACCAAAGGCACCCATTATACAGGAAGCCCTTGCTAATTCTGCCCGGGCCTTCCTATGTGCCAGTGCTCACTCTGTCGGATTTGCACTGAGTAGGCACCGGTGCAAAAGGAAGTCTAGACAGAACACATGCTGCAGCCCTTTAATGTGTCACCGGCCATGCCTTTGAGGTGTGTCCTGGGGGGGGGCCTCTCTCGGCAGCCTTTATAGAGACAGCAGGGAGCATTCGCAGAGCCTGGGCTAAACGGCTGCCGTCCAAATAAAGTCATCGCATTTTTTTGTATGCATTGGCCTTTATAGGCAAAAGTCACACACACAAATATAAATCTACCCCATCGTAACAAAACACATGAGGTCATGTTTACATAACTGGGCAAGCCATCCTGAGGTTGTCCTTACAGGAACCTTAATACAGCCCATTTTAGAAGAAGCGATCCATTTCTGGTAATATACTTGGTTTGTGACAAAAACACGCGTTACAGGAAAGGCCGTAGACTTGGGTATGGTCAATAGGGACATCTCCCTACCGATATTTTGGGTATATCCTGTGTGTATAGGGGTTAGGGGGTTCAGGGATGATTTGGTTCCTACCAATGTTTGAAACAAACCTACGCCCTTGGTCACAGGGGCGGCAACGTCATCCCTGCTAGAGGGCAATGTCAGATACCAAACATATAATGCTAGGTATATTCATGATAGAGAAGAAACACACTCTGTCATATTAACTCCAACTGCATAATCATGTTGTGTGTAACCTAGAATTGTATTTTGTGTTCTCAAAAGCTCTTCTACTCCACTTTAAATCATGCTCTGACAGTCTATGTTAGATTCGGAGAAGGTTGCTTCTAAGGTTTAAGAAAAATACACATCTACTGCACTTATATATCAATCTGTTTATTCCAATAAGACCCGTGGCAGCCTCGTACATATGGCATGAAAGAGGATGTGTTGGTCGTTTGTTTTCTGATCACACACGACACACGGAGAGAAGGTTTATTTTACACACATCCAAAAAGAACGAATTGATGGAAACCCAAAATAAGACTGAATAATGAACTTTTCATCTTATGGCAAATAATGACGGCTATTTATTATACTTTTAAGTTCAGTTCGATTAAATTACAAGGACACACAAATGTAAAACTATGAAAAGATAAAAATGATAAAAGATAAGGAACACGAACCTCCGAGTAAAGCAGCAGGATTTTACGCCTCAACACACTGCCAGCTAACAGCCGTAACGAGCATCCTGCCATACGCCAGTCAAAAGGCAGATTTCTCATGTCATACCGAAGGCAGCCACCCGAAAGGCGCCGCCTGCACCCCTGTGGGCTTTTATTAAAAACTCACTTCATTGTTCTTTGGGGGAAATGCAAGTCAGAATACAACTTTGTAAGTAAATAATCGATTGCTTAATTTAGTTAAATCCGTCCAGGATTTCTTATGTTATCGTCTGTTTTTAATTCAAAAACTTTTCTCCAAGTTATTGACATCAAAATGAGTATTTCCTTGCAATGGAAAATGTGTTATACATGGAAGACCTTGATGTCCATTTATGGATATAACACAATGCGATTTCGGCTGTGTTAACGTACAGTGGACGTAAATGTTGTGAAAAACAAAAGATTAACAGCTTAATAATTATCTCTTTTGACGGGGTATGAGTATCTGTCTACATGTGCAATTGGACCCTTTACCAATAAAGTACAGAACCCCAACTACTAAAGACAGCAAGTAACTCACAACTAACTGTGAAGAACAAGCTACGGATGGTAAATGACCACATGGAGGTTCTTACGCGGAGTTTACTCTGCGATGCGCTGTCATTCCTAACGTACAGCGGTGTAGTACGGAGTGCGAAAGTGGGAGGACACAGTCATTTAAATACAAAGGTCTATGTATTTAGGCGGGGGGGGGAATGAAACCAAATGAAATATTGCGGGGTGCAAGTACTCATCCGTCCCCGCTGATCGTGGCTAATGAATTATAAATTCAACCTATTTTCTGATAATTTTAAAGAGACTTTCCCCTCAGTTTTCTTCAGAATAGTATGCATTTAAATACTCAGAACATTTTTAAAAATAAAAACAGGCCTTTTAGTAAATCGCGGTGGATTAAGGTGGGCAACACGAGTTAAATGATACTCACCTTAGAACTTGGTGACAGTTATTAAAAATTCAATGAAATTTCTAACAAGTCTCTGCTGAGGGAAGAGGACAACATAGACAGAGAGCGGATACTTGCAGGGTTAAACGGTGCCCATCTGCCAAACACACTACTGTCACTGTACTAAAACTTGCCACCAGGGCCGCGAAACAGGAAAGAAATTAATTTTAAGGCAATTGCATGCGGTTCGGCTCCGAACCCAAAGCAGTGAAACAAACTGAGCGCGACAGGAACGTTAACAGTTCATTTACCTTTGATTTCCTGTTGTGCGTCTGCAGTCTCTTGATACTGATGCCGCCGTTGAGCGTCGATAATTTTTTTACATGTGAGGTACAACGGTGGGGGAAAGAGCAGCGCAAAGAAAAGTGTCGTTGATACCCAGCCGTGCGGCGCAGCCCGCTGAAGTGAGAAGCTGCCGTCGGACTATAAGCCGAAAGAAACTGAAGAGAAAAAGTGACAGTCGCACACGCCCAGCGGAGACGAGGAGCCCAGCCCAGCCCGCGAAGCGCCGCCTCGAGCCCTGCGCGCGTCTGAAGCGCAGCCAGCCATTGCCCCCCCCACCCCACCCCTAAGGAGCGCGTGCAGTCTCACGGCAGACGAAAAACACGGGGACCTTTCCGGAATGTCGCCGTCAGTGTGTCGTTTGCCCCGTCAGTGCGTGAGAAGCGGGGTAATTTCCGTGTTTTACAAGCGAATTTTGTCCTTCTCTCTTGTGCATTTATAAAGCATGAAGTGGTAATGATAATGCAGCCAATTTAACCTACTCGATGTGCAGTCAAGTTCTGTCCAATTCAGTTACTCTGGATAAGAACACGGATTTATAATCCGACTGTAAGCGAGTTTGCCAGGCGAAGTTCCACGGGGGTCACTGCTGTTGTACGATAGGTAGGTACCTACCCTGAATTTTTCCAGGAAAACTCCAGTCGTATGAAGTGGTGATAAAAAAAATCGACTAAGTAATTAAAAGTAGTGGAGAGGAATTATCACTTTTAATGCACTTTCTAGGCTTTGTTGTTTCTAATGTAGCCTAAACAACTGCCGTAAGGAAGAATTGGTCGTATATGGTCCTTCTTCATGCTATTCGAACAACTAATCTAAGAAACTGAAGTTGCATTTGTCTATTCTGGTGGTTTAATTTGAAACAACTGGAGCGATTAAATACCCTTCATCTTGTAATCAAATTCATGTACGAGGCGAAGCTCAATTCCTCCCAAATTGATATTGACCGGACAATCCCGGTCAGACTATTCTTCCTTTTTTATCAGTCAAGGGAAAAAAACAGGCCAATAGCTGAACCAGTTCCGTAATATGATCTATTTGACGTGATAACGCGATTAAAAAGTAGGCTAATTGCTCGGAGCAGCAACATTAGACGCAGAAGTCCGTGATGGCAAGAAAAAATAAAATACATCATAATATCTAAGTTTGAGGGGGTAACCTAATTTTCCAGGAGAAAGACTTGCATTTGGATTTCAGTTTATTTTAATAATTGGTTAGGATATGGATGCTAGCACGATGAATTATGTACACGGTATATTTTTGTAGCCAAAAATATGCATCTTTTAATTTCGATGCAGGCGTCCATCTGTCGCATATTCCACTCAGTCTGCAAACTGACTCTACCTTAAGGAGTTAAGGGCGTAAACTTTCACTGCCTTATGTATTCTTTTCACCCTGTATGTGGTTCACATCACACAATAAGAAAGCTCCCAAGGTGTTCGGCATTGAAGATCGGAATAATATCAGAGGATTGTCAAGTTACTTTGTTCTGCCAATAAAGTTATTTCATCTTATATCATAAAACAAGGATTTTCACTGTCCTAAAAACAGGGAAATGAAAGCCCATACGTGCTCTTAAAAATTAATAGCAAAAGAAAGGTCAAGTAAATGGAAACCGTGGCGTAAACGGAAAATGCAAATCAAAGTACAGATAAACGTGTGTACTAACGAAAAATACACTGAGTGTGATTTTTAAGCACAGCGTTGGCCCTGGCTGTTTTGGCAGCCTAGGTGAGATTTTGTTGAGCGTTGTGTGTCATGGTCGTATCGTTCATACGCAAATCTACGCCCTTGATATTAACAAAAATAAACCATATGAACTTCAACACCAGAACTACAGAAGATTCAGATTGAGCCTTTATTCTTGCTTTCATGCACTGATGTAGATTTATGTCTGTATCAGTCAAGTCCGTGTAAACATGCATTTTAGTTTGCATAAACATCTAAATATATATTAATACAAGATCTTTCAAATTTTAGGTATAAAACACTTTATTTGAGGTGTTATCTGCTTTGTAATAAACGTACAATTTGGTAAATACTTAAGTGCTCATTTAACTAACATTTTGAAAATGCCAAAAAAGGCCTTTATGTCAGTCATGCTGCTGGTATGTACACATAAAGCAAAGTGACTGCAGTTTTCAAATTACCAATGTACCACTTCCATACAAGTGACAGAACTTACAGAGGGACATAAAGCAATGGCGAGCTGGTATAGAAAGGTGCATTCCGTTTCACCGACAACAAAAGCCTGGATAAAAATGGAAGTCCTTTGTGAAACAGCATGGGCTGGCAGAAAGGGCAAACCAGGGATTAAATCTGTGTGTGGGGAGCAGGATAAGGAGAGAAACACATAGACAGCCATACTGAAGAAAAATAAAAGATTAGAAAATTAAAAAAAGAAAACCAACAGTGGTTTGTAGTATGAGTGAACATCTCTAATGGTAAACCAAATTATCTGTAGTCTATGTCACCTTCATGTAATATCAGTATAGTATTAACAGATCTGTGAGCTATTTCTCTGCCAAAAGTTCTGATCACAACTGCATCCCATAAAGTTCTTAAAACTGTATTAGGGAATTAACTCTGACATGGAGTCAGGCTTCATGTAAACAATTCCCTTGCCCTTGCCAACGAGAAAAACAAAAGGAACACATTTTTAGCCATAATGTCAGGAAATATTTCAATATAATTGTATTAGATTTACATGTAGGAATTTACAAAAAAATGTAGACAAATGTGGTCCAAATAATATTTACCTGAACCCAGTGTGCGCCACCATCTCCATTGGCATTCTGATGCCTCACACTAACGACTTACATCAGTGTAAATACCAGCCCTAAATCTGAAGTCAAATTTCAGTGAAAAAGAGGGGCTCCTTTATGACAAAAACTACACTCCCCCCCACTCAAGGTCACACAAAGCTTCACACAGTAATATATATTAATTTCAAAAACCAACATAACAGCCAACTGATCAGTTCAAACATGAAAAAGTCAATGCACACAACCATAAAATGCCCATTAACTAACCCACAAACATACACTAACAATATATTTATTGCTTTCATGTGAAAGGCATTTGAAAGGACTAATTTATAGGTAAAAATGATGAAGTATGGTTAGAAACTGCATGGAACCTGAAACCGTGGAAACACACAACAAAGGCAAGCAAACTCTCTCTCTCACACACACACACTTTACAATGGGTACATGTATATAAGTGCTTTTGAATACAAAATGATTATGTACAACAAAACTTAATACAGACAATAGGAAAATTGTTCTGGGTTTTCCCACCAACAAGAACAATGATTAAGGGTATGGTGAATATATATATATAAGAACATCACCCACACAGCTGTAACTTTCAGTCACTGCCAAAGCAGCCTTGCCAAACGCAACTACCATGACAGCAAAACCAGAACGGGCCGGTCTGAGTTTATCCCTAACTTATCACAAAGGCAAATCAAATGCATGGACATGATTCGCCAGTCTCATGACAGTCAGTTTCTTTCATTTCCGAGCCAATATCTAAATCCATCGGAAGATTATATCCAATGGCAGAACTCCAAATTCTGGCAAACATCAGGAAACGAAAAGCACTTCACTGAATGCATAATCAGACAGCACGTCCCAAATGTTTTAAAGTCTCTTAGGTTGTACAACTGTCAGGATGTTACTCATATTACTAATCGATTAATGTTTCCACAAAGAAAAAAAAAATATATGATCAACTGCCGCAGCCCCTGTGGCAGTCCAAATCGAGATAAGACTGAGAATCAGGATGCTCCCACAGTACCATACAGCAAAGCTTTATCCGCATCAAGAACTGTTATTCATCATACTTGACCTGAAATTAATGTGATCGTCCCCCTACCCTAAGTCAGCAAATTTTTTTGGACATAGTAGAATTGGCTTAGTGTTGTTGATGGAATTTGGCCCTTGGGGGAAATAGTTGGGGACCCCTGCTCTATAACAGAGATTCTTAACAAGTTCTGAAAGGGTTGCCAGGCAGAGTTGGCAATGTAAATACAGTGGTACCTTAGTATACGTCCTTAATCATTTCCAGATCCTTGGACTTATACCAAACAGGATGTATACCAAACAAATTTTTCCTGTAAGAAATATAGGGAAAATGATTAATCCGTTCCCATGAAAAAAAAATCCTATTGTTATTGGCATATTATAATTTAATGGGGTTTTATAAAATAATTTCAACACTGCTTAATACTAAAATACGTAAATACAAAAGCAATTAGATGAAATAAGTTAAAAGAGTTATATCGCGAGTTGTTCACTTAATGGTAGCAACTGGCATACTGACGCTGGTGGGCAGTTCTGGCTTTGTCTCAAGAGAGGTAAACAAGGGTAGCGCATGGTGTCATGACTCATTTTGACCCATACAAGTGCTAGCAGTCGTATTCCAAACAAAGGTCGTATACCAAGCAAAATTTTTTGCATCCAAACAGGACGAATACCAAGTTGGACTTATTCCAAAGTGGACGTATACCGCGGTACCACTCCAAGCTCCTATGCTGACCCACGATCAGATTTTCCAGCCCTAATCCTAGAATTAACCCATATTAATTGATCTGCAAACGCTTACCACAAAACTCAGCCAATCCAAGAAACCAAACCACAGATGCTTAATTTAAAATTCACTGGTACACCAATCAGATCTGTGCGATAGGCATTGTTTGGCATAATTTGCAGAGTGCACTGCATGCTTGATCATAGCTTTAATTTAAACTTATACTGGATTTAGGGCCATGACCGAGCTGGCATGGTAAAAATTGGGTCAAAAAAGGTTGAGAACCACTACTCTAGAACATCTACATTGACTGCAGCATGGCCTTACTGAATGTAAAACAATGTTTTAAGACTTATTCCCTGCCTAGCTTAGAGGGGGAAATTCTGTTGGATGTTTTTGTACTATACTTTAAGAATACATCCACACTGATTGAAGGCTTAAACAAAATGGAGAATAGCAATGTGAGTTAAGATGTACAAAAGAACACAAACAGTTGCAACCTGACCCATTTCTTCTTAACTACAAGGAAAAATCCAAGAAAAAACACAAACACACCTTAGTTTACTGCAAGATGAATCAACTGCACACAAAATAACTTCATACACAAAAATCAACCTTGATAAGTGTTCATGGAAAAATATAGCATGGCAAATGGCCATAACATTTTAATGAACAACAATACAAAGACCAGCTACACTCCACTGACTGAGGTGGGGGGTGGGAGGGGGGGGTCCACCGGTTCCAGATTCCCAGAGACTTCATACTAACAATTCAGTTCACGTCAAGTTTCCCCATTTTAACCATGAATTACAATGGGGAAAGTGCTTCATCTCAGAGTAAAAGGCATGTTAGGTTTGGCTCATTTTCCACTTGGCTTGCATCACATGTTGAGAGACTTCATGTTGGCTCAGAGAGACAAACTGTGGCAGACAGAGATGCAGTGGCCATTCTCCCAAACCCTTCACAACAGCTTTGGTGAGAACAAGAAAAAAACAAGAATCACATCTTCTCTTTGAAAGGCTTCACATTTCCAACACAAAGATTCCAAAATGGCTATGGGTGACAATGCAATCTTCTTCACCCTACAGTCACTCTTGGAGGGGATGGACCCCAGCCCTGTTCATACTACCCATCTGCTGCTTAAATAAGTATTTTCTGATATGAAATAAATAGAATATCGGACGACACATGGGGGCAGAGTCTGTGATATGTGGTAAAAATAAGGAAAGATAAAAGAGATCAGAATTACTACTATAAAATTCCTCCTGGCGGATCTAGGTGGGTAAAATCCCAGTGGTCTCTTGAGAAATTGGTTCAACACAGACCTCACCACAGGCCAGGTCAATAAAAAAATGGGCTGGGGAGAGAGGGGTCACACTGTGGTGCGATTTCCTCATTTTCATTGCCTCTTCCTCGTCATTCTGCTGCATTGCAGGCCCTGCAGTTTGCCAGCCGTGAACAGCCTGTTTCTGCGTTACGGTGGAGCCGAGCCGAGAACACAGAGCTCCTGAGCCTTCAGCTTAAAGCATCCAGAGGTCCTGTTGCACTAGTGTTCAGAAACAACAACGCCAGAATAAGAGACCGATTAGATTATATTGAACATCAAGTGTAGATACAGCAGTACTATGCATTTAGTCCCTTATCGTTTATTGTAATGTTTTATTGTAGCCTGTCCATGTAACTGGAAGTAGGTCATAAAAATAAGTATTGCAAGCCTGAGTAGACAGTAGCTGGAGACAGCTCTAGAGAGGTACAGAGAGCAGATCAAGCTTTAGTGTAGGTTTCACTGTCAGTCATATTACTCTGGTTCACATTTACTAAAATTGCATGTGCATAGACAAACGCTAGAGACATTGCTGTATATTCAGTCCAGTTTTATGAACGTTTACTGGCTGAGGGGGGAATGTTGCACTTCCATCAGTGCTGTCCAGTTGCCACCCTCATCCTTCATTCGGCTGACCTCCACAGAAATTCGGAACCTGGGAGACTGTTAATGTTTGATGGGGGAGAGGAGGGAGAGGAGCATTGTGTTCTTGACGTGCCTCTCCCAAACCTTCCTCCTCTCTGCCCTATAGGATCTCCTCCACCCCGTGGGCGAAGATCATGACCAGGCCTGGCTCCAGGATCATGTCCTCGCCCATGTGCTGGTTCTCGCAGGCCATCACCACCACCGCCTGCTTGCCCGGGATGCGCTTCGCCACATAGTTCTCGTAGTAGCGCCGGTTCATCTGCCGCGTCTCCAGCGTGGCCAGGCCCTGCGGCCAACTGCGCTCGTGGGCGTTCTCAATCAGGTCGTTGACGATGGACAGCGGGCAGCCACTGTCAATCAGGGAGCGCTTGATCACTGCCTGCAGCACGGCGTCCGGCGTGGAGATCATGCCACCCCAACGTGTCACCCGGGCCGGCTGCAGCGAGTTCACCCACCTTGGATTGGAAAAAAAGATGGTTACGGGGTGAACAGGGCTAGAGAACCAGGATGCACACACACAGATTGGGGTTAGGAATAAAAACACCCGCTAATATATACTGTTACGAGAGTGGCGTTACTCACTCCAGGATCTCGTTGTACTCTATAGTCTCCTCCAGGTTCTGCAGGTTGGGGTTGGCATTGCGTATAGCCCTCATGTAGGCCTTCAGCAACTGGATGTCCCGTTTCTGCCCCAAAGATAAGTATGAGAAACATACATCAAAAGGACGAGGGACGGGGACCAACATGATCACGACAAGCCCACATGTGGCCACATTTGTCGCTGACCTGCTCTGCCAGCTGGTGCTTGTGCTCAGCCGCGGTCTTCTCCAGCTCTGCGATCTTAGACTGCTGCTGCTGCACCATGCTGAGCAGGTGCTTGATGCAGTTGTGGTTGGGCAGCTCGTCTTTCGGCATCTCAAGCCTGTGTGGGTCGATAAACTAGTGGAAGTGAAAGCTCACAGAGACAGCTAGAATGTTCCTTGCGTTTTCATATATGGTCTAAAACGGGTTTAAGGTCCCTGTGAACAAATGTACCATGAACCATCAACCCTCCAGAAAAAAACTCACCCACAACCCTCTTCGCAGGTGACGGGCCTCTTGGGGTTGTGCTCGCAATCCTTGAGGTGCGACTGCAGCTGGTCGAGCCGTAGCACAGCCTTGCACCCGAAGCCGGCGTTGTCGCAGGTGATCTGCAACTTGGACAGCATGTTGCGCATGATGCGCGGTACGGGCCGCAGGTGGGCCAATGTGACGACGGTGCGGTCCACAGGACAGATCTGCTGCTGCGTGAACCACTGGGTGATGCAGGCATTGCAGAAGGCATGCTCGCAGTGAGGAGCCTGTGGGAGTAAGAGGTGTAAGGGAGCAGCAGGCTCTGCCTTAAAGCATGCAAGAGTGCAACTCCTCCAAACAAAGCACCTTATGAGCGTTACAAAAAGTCCCCTCCCAACCAGCAACTTCCTCTGTATACCTGGGGCCCCAGACTCAATTCCTTGCAGGCCTTGTTTTCATTCTAAACCGTCCCTCTGGCTTAACTGGTCCAGTTATCTGTACTATTAATGCAGCTCTTTAATAGTACTGCCAGACTTCGCTCCCTAGAAAACACACCCACCGGGACCTGAGTTTCAGACCCATGTTCGGTCCTTTATAAATAACCCTTGAATACACCACTGCTGTACTTAATAAAATAGAATCACACACAGCTCAGGCACTTCAGCCGAGAGGCCGTTTTTGTTTCTTTAACTGTAGTTTCTTAGCACTATTTATGCTACAGTCATGTTCTGGTTTGTTTGCCCTCTGATTTCTGTCATTTCCTGACACGTAAAATGACGATGATGATGATGATGATGAAAGAAAAGCACCCTCCCGATCTAACATTTATGTAAGCATGATCTAATTTCACCCATCAACAAATGAAGAGAGCCTGTGAGGCATGCTTTAGCTAAACCTGCTGGCAGTTGGCTGAAAATAGCAGTGATGTAAGTGCTTAATCACACTAACAAGAGGGCTAAGGCCAGAACAAAGCCTTACGCTTTACTCAGCACCTTTATTTGCTGGGGTGGTGGTTCGTTAGGAGCCCTGAAGGAATGTAACCCCTCCAGCAATGAAATGCAAGGGCAGATGGACCGAGGGGGAGGGGGGTAAAAGCAAGAGTGGAATTGAATATTCACAGCCATTTTCCTACTTCCTCCATTTTTTTACCATTCGAAACCTCAGCTCTTCTGCCTTTGAGCCTTCATGAAACTACCCCCTTTTCCTGTCTACAGCGATGGCTGACATTTGCCAATTTCTGTGAATTCAGGGATCTGTGCGTGACTCTACTTACAAAAGTCTGTAGACATTAAACAAAAAGGAAGTCGATAGTAACACTGCATGCGGCTTCCTGCACTTGCTCAGTCTCACTCGCTGTACGAAACCCTTGAACAACACTGAAGACTGCAGTCACCCTTGTGGTTGGAAGCCAGACACACGAATGAACATGAAAGTTACATATACAGGCACCCCACCTACCCCCAAAATGCAGTCTTTAACAGTCTTTCTAAATTGGAAATTGCAAGTAAAATATAACCAACCAAGTATCAGAGACTGAAAATACGGTAAACTTGACATGAAGAAACCAACTCATGGTTTCATCATTGTCAGCCCCCATGAACAATATAACTACTAAAATAAAGGAATTATTTCATTGGATGATCAACCATTTTCTGTAGTAGAGGACTCACTCATTACTTAGCAGAGGTCTCATAGTACTGGCTCATGGGCAAGATCAAGCCTGCAAGATGGTCCATCTGCTGCTCCCCTACCACCACTCAGCAAACTTCACTACTAGCACAAGTACATGGTCTGCCACTTAGTGGCTGAGATTCTGTTATTCCTAAACATTTCCACTTCGCAACAATACCACTTACAGTTGACCATGGAATACCTAGCAGGGAAGAAATTTCACAAACTGACTTAATATAATCCTATAACAGTACCACAGTCAAAATTTTCAGATCAGTGCACCATTAAATAAAATAAGTTTCAACCAATTAAACAGTCACATGAAGACTCCGAGATCAAATAATTCACTTGTATAAAACAGGAATATACTAAAATAGCTGAATAAATGTTAGCATTTAAAGTGTCGAGGACATTTAAAATGATTAGGAGAACCAATAAATATTTGGCAGAGCTGCCAAAAAATTAATGTAGTTGGTTTACAGGTTCTCAGTACAGTGCAACTTAGAAAATACTGGTCTGTCAGAGGAATCAGAAGGAAGCTTTTTCTATGACATGATCACAGAAGTGTAAAATGTGCAAAAGAAAACCTTAGCACACCTTAAGCTGATATGATACACGATACATTTTTCACTAATATTACTGATACAGATAACCGGGATAACCTTTGAGCTCCACAAATCTATAGTGAACCTGATGCTGGTGACGTTACTTCTGAAGATCTCATAAATATGTGTAGCAACCACATCACATAATGCTGGCGATGAGACATCAGCAAATTAGCACCAACTTGGAAGACTGTAGCAAGCTTTTAAGTGATGAATGAGCCGACGAAATTACTGTGGCATAAGTAAACGTCCGTTACCAAAATACCAAAAAGCCGGCATCTGGACAAATGTTTATGCCCATCATCTGAAGCCCTGGGGATTATTGCACACGCGCCACATAATCATGGATGCGTTATCCTGCAGCCCTATTGATTATTTTGAGCTATAACAACAGAGAGGATTCATCCCAGGTGAAAAGGACAAGGTGAAGTCAGGCTGACCTGCACTGGCTCTTCTAGGACCCCGCTACAGATGGGGCAAAGCAGGTCCTCATCCACCTCACCCTGGAACCTGGTGATGTCGTAGCCCATGGCACATCCCTGACAGGATTGAAGTGTCCAGAAAAACAAGTTAAATATTCAGATTAACAAACTACTATAAATAAGGTATATTAAGATTTCAGTAAAATTGGATAAACTAATGCAAAATTACACACAAATTTTCTTGCCAAAAAGAAAAAGTGCACTCATTCTACAGTCAATGATTACATTGTATTTTGCCCTGTATGCCAATTCAGTACCCCTGCCCTACAGAAATACATTTTTACGGTTATCCTAACACTTCTCTCAGTCATGTTGTAGCAGTGTCCGTCTGTTCAAGGAACAGACTGTTAATTTTAGCAGCAGCCAGCAGTATAAAAGGCCAGCAATTTACACAACCTGCTTGTCATTCCTAGCGGCAGAGTAAATAAAATATATCAAGGGGGATCTTTGCAGGGTGCGCTTATAAATACAGAAATCGTGTTTTACCCATTATAGATGTGTGTGTATTAACGGTTACGAATGCTGGAGATGAAATTAGTTGAGCTTACGAAATGACTTTACATCGTTTTTTTTTTTATTCTGTGGAAAACAAAAGATCGATCCGCCGGCCAGTACTTGTGACATTTAAGTGGTGAATGATCCGATATAATCCCTCATGCTCCATTACTGAAAATGGCTGGTCATCCAATGCAATCATCTCCATTACTATAGTTATGCTTTTAGCTCTGGTGGTGCAAACTTTGAATATTCATAAAGTTTAGATATTAGCCAAGAGTGACACATCGGACATATGCTGATATCAGCTGATATCCATTAGGAATCAGGTTATCGATATTTTAATTGATATATATTGTGTATCTCTAAAGGGCCATATTTCCTAAACAGGGTAAACTGGCATGCGAGCACAATCAAAAAAAAGTGCCAGTGTGAGTGGCCAGTTCTGCCAATGATCTACTGAAAATACACAAATTTATAAACACAGACTCAGTCAGTTCATTTAAATAATGACCACCTCAATCTACCAAGGGCAGCACAAATTATTGTAGGGTTGCAAACAAGCAGATCTGGTGAAGATGCTGGTGATCTACTAACAACACAGACACAGCTTGTTGCAATCAGACAAACATAAGCGTAGATAATTTTGGCCGATATACCGGTTTTAAGCTCCCGTATGGTATGAATTTTTCATAAACCGCCATACCGTATAGCTGAAACAACAGCTGTAACACTTCAATTGGTCTCTGCCAATAATATCATATTGTTCGCTGCTAGCAGTGCTATGTAGAACTGTAGAGTGTATTAAGAGTGGACCCTTAACTGTGGGAACGTTTCTTACCAAGAACTTTATGGCAACAATTTTCCATATAACTGTTCAGCATTATAGTACTTATAGCTACTGCTCTAGTCTGTGCCTGATAATTTGAATTGTGTATTATGATTAGGCCTGCAATTCAATGCATATTGGTAAATCCCTATTATTATCAATTAATCATGGTAATAAATATTTAAATCATGCCAGTTAAGCAAACATGTTGTTACCAAGCTAAATATACGGTAATAATCAATAAGACATGTCTCTATGGCGCTAAATATACAGGTGTATATTTAGGAAATTTAAGCAAAAACATAAAACATGTTGCTGTCAATATTAATCTAATCAAACAATTCCTGTCAAGCCAGGTACTAGGGCTGGGTATTGGCACAGATGCCCCGATTCAATTTGCTTCTGAATCAGTAGATAACGATTCAATTCAGTTCAATCCGATTCCATTCAGTATCAATTCGACAGGAATAAGATATGAAATACAATATAGCAGCATTCCATATAATGAGAGATGTTTCGAAAGCTCTAAATTGATCACAAATTTAAAACTGCAATCACTGAAAAGAAATGTGTAAAACACTTAAGAAAAGGCCAAAGGCTTGTATACCAAAATCTTTCTTTGAGGAACATCGGGTTACAGCTCCTTAAAAACAAAACCAACCTGTCTTTTTCAAAACACAAAAAGGACTAAGAAAAAAAACAGATGAAAACAAAAACAGGCAAGCCTAAAACTCATGTCTCAGAAGGACTAAGTTAAAGATACATGTCAAAACAAAGTAAGTGGAGTTTGTACTTGTTTTGCATGGAGAAGGCCCACATGCATGCTTTGACAGAAGGGATGGCACCAGCACATTTGGGTGATGTCTTGTTAAATGGCTATACACATATGTCATATGTTAACTATATGGCTTAATGCCTTAACTCTTGTGTACATGGGACTTTCAGGAAACACTATTACATACCTATATGAAATTCAAGTCACAAATAACCATAACTGTGCACGCTTTTATTGAATACCCCTTCCCTGAACATTAAGAACGCTTTAACAAATGTAATTTGACATACTTTTAAAATAATTTTAGTATTATAAGACCACAATAGTTTGTATCCATCTTTAATAATTTTCCGATCGAAAAAACACATACAAATGATATTGCATAAATCACAGCATCAGAATGGGAAGCAGCGGAATGAGAAGCAGTGGAAGAGATAAAATGGCTCAAAAAATCTCAGAATGCCCCTAAACACCATGATCGAGGGGCAAAAACTCTTTTCAAAAAAAGAAAGAAAAAAAAAATAAAATAATAATTTTATTTTTATTCATTTCATTTTATTTCATTTTCGTCTCAACACACTTATATAATATCGCCGTTTATCACACTACATACGTACACAACTTTAGGTAACATGTAACGGTAATTACGTAATACTACTGTATGTAATGCTGCAATGATGCTTGGCAGAGGCCAATTTAATTTTTTAAATAAAGGCATTTATCCAAAAAACAAATTGATATCTTAAGGGGATGGCTATAGATGGCGTATTAATGCCCAGGAGGGCCGGAGCCCAGTGTATCTTAGTTCTTTCCCTGTTCCATCACAAATGATTCTGCTCAAGAGCTGTGTGGTAATTAGCACAAGGAGTTGAATCAGGTGTGTTAATTGAGGGTAAACCAAAAACTGTGCAGGGCTCCGTCCCTCCAGTACTGTAGTTTGACACCCCTGCTGTAGATCGTCTGCTTACTCATGGATTTGCCACTCACCCATCAACAGCATCTCACAGAGTAGCTGATGGAGGCAAAGAATCATCTGTACTTGTTTCATTTCGTTTTAAAACACTGCAGAACAGCTCACATGTTAATTGTTGATATTGTAATTTGCAATATTTTGTTGAAAGGACCAGTTTGCTTTTACAGTTGTAAAACACTGCCTTTATTTTCCCCAAATATTTTTAAGAGACCTTCAACAGTTTCTAAAGGGGATGTTTAAAAAAAGACTGTAAACTAGTTCATTTGAAAGACTGTGATGAAGCTTTTACTTTATCTATAAAATGATGCGCGATACATATAAAAATGCTATTAACAGCTAAATAAAAGCCTGAATAGTTAGAACTGTCTCCTGCTTTCTCTCACAAACAGATGATTACACACTTCTCTCACTGGAACAGCAGTAGTATGCTTTTTATTTACTCATGTTGGCACAAGGTGGATGATTACTGTTTGCATTTGAATCTGGGCACATTTCACATTAAAAACTGAAACATTATGCATTAATTACTATTTTTTGGCAAATGAGTGACCATAAAACAGGTTTAAGCTATTTTGTCATTAGTACTAAATAGTTGTGGGTGAGGTCATTTTAACAGTTTAAGGTAGCTACTAGCTAACGGTAGGTGTCTGCTGACAGAGCAGGTGTAACATTAACTAGCAATGGCACATGAGGGGCAGTGATGCTGCTATTGGCTGAGCACCAGAGGGCAGATATTTCAAATCAACAGCTCTGACATTTAATCTGTGTTGCAATATAATCTGGTACAACCCTGTTTAACAATAGCTTAAAAAAATGAAAAAAAAATGCCATCAAGCTGAATATACATTAATAATCTAGAAAAACATGTCGGTTTAAAAACATTGGGAAGCAGAATTTATTGGTGTAAACACTTGCTGCTGTGGTTAGGGTGAACTTGGGTGAAAAAACAAACATGATATATCATGAAACCACCAGAATCTTTAAAAATAAACATAATACAAATTTTTGGTCACATCGCCCATTACTAAACAAAGGTTTATGCTCATGTACACTTGGCCGTGTGTCCCAGCATTAAAAAAAGGCTCAATTTGCAGTAAAGTTGCCTACCGCAAACCCAAATAAATCACATTGCGTGATTCATGTCTGTCCTCCCCCAAATTTGGCGCTTTGAAAGGGAACTCCTACAAATGCGTATGCAAAATGATCAGTCGCAAAATTAACTGTGTCAATGCCCTTCCATCACTAACTTTTCACTGCATGTCTTTAGTAAATCCTGACAGTACTATTTTAGTAACAAAAGAGGATTGGGGCTTCTACAAGCAGTTAGTAAATCTGGCCTGAAGTCTTTTCCAGTGATATCACCCATTCCTAATCTAATTATTTCACCTGAAATGCAGGTGAATTTCTAGATCGCTTTAATAATTTTGAATTTAATTAATTAAATTACATTATTATATCTTACAAAACGCGACACTAGGCACACAAACATCTCAAGGTGGTCTATTTGAGATGCTTATCAAAGGCTACGTTCACCACCAATTATTTAGAGAAGGGACGTCTAGCAGCTAGTAGCCTATAAGCAGGGTTTTAAACTCAAAAACAGAAAGAAAGAAGTTTCGTTTCTACTCATGTTTATTTCAGTCTGTTTCGGAGTTTGTTCGTTTCATTTCTCACACTCCTTAAAAGAATGAATTTTTGGATATATGCACTTTTCATTGGACAGCAATGATATGCTCTGATAAAATGGCACAAGAGCCTTATTATGTGTATGGGAACATGCTCATCAGTTAATAGGGTTATCTGATTTGGATGACCCCCACGGCATACAGTAGCGTAGTGCTGGGCAATATAAACAATATATGGACTTATTGACCCTGGTAATAAAATTTACCAAGGGCAAATTTGCTGTTCCATCTGCTGTAGGGCTGATCGAAGGGGCAAATCGCGAAATGTGGGACACATCATGTTCTGGATTGGTTCAAAAG